TCAATTTATCCTATTTTAAAAAACCTACAAACTTCTTGCTGTTTTTGGCTCATAACAATCACCTCTTCCTCTCTGCACCAATTTCCACGCTGCCTCCAAACTCCCTGGACTATATAATTTCAGGCTGTGTCTCACTCTGGATGTGATCTTTCCTTCCTGATTTTGCAAATCTTATTGATCAAAGGGCAGAAATTCCTCCACAGGTGAGCAATTTCTTCTGATTCCCTTATCCCTCATCTATGGCTTTCCACTGAATTGTCAAGTTCCAAACCTTGTGTGTCTGATATTAAGTAAACTCAACACAAAACAAAAATCGGAATCTGAATCAGAACAGGTGATCTTATTAAAACATGGAGGATCCGGAGGAGAATTGATAAGAATAGCTGCTGAAAGGATGTTTCCCCTTGTGGGAGATACTAAAACAAGGGGACACATGAAACTGGAGGTCTCCCATTTAAGATGAAGAGAAAGTCTTTCTTTTGGGATCGTGAATAAGTGGAATTCTCTTGTTCAAGGGACAGTGAATTGGATATGCTTAAGGTTGAGATAGATAGATAATGACTGACAGAAGCGTAAGTGGGTATCGAGGGCAAGGCAAGGAAGTAGAATGTAGGCCACAGTCAGGTCAACCATGACCTTATCGAATGGCACAGTTGGTGCAGAGGCTGAATGGCCAACTCCTCCTTATTCATATTTTTATATCTGAATTCAGCAAGAGATGCCAATCATCAAAGAGAAACTTTGACAATGAAAGCAGAACCAGCTGCTCCTTGGGGTTTGGCAGTTGATGTGGATTTTACAAATTTACTGAGTGGCTGTGTGTCACTATTGGACAATTCTATTTTAATCTGCATGCAATAACATGAGTGAGCACATCACTCACAGAAACATCTGCTTGGAACATTCTTGAAATTAATAAAAAGCTCTGTGATGTGGGAATTTGTGCATCTGTACTTGCAGTTCATAAGGAGTCATTGTGGTCTGACATTCGCTTTCGATGAGTTAAAATGTGAAGCACATCTTTAGGAAGACAAACCTTTTTCAAATTCTCTCTGCCCACACAATTGGAAAAATCGAAAGGAATGCTCCAGTGTTGCATCATCTTGGGTGCCAGCTCAATGCAGGCTCCGGACTCTGGGTTTAAGTCCCACTCATACAAGCATACAATTAGGAGCAGAAGTCGGCCATTCAGCCTCTCAAGCCTGTTCTGACATTTGATAAAATCATGGCTAATCTGATTATGGCATCAACTCCAATTTCCTTCCCACCCTGACAGCCTTTGACATTGTTGTTTATCAAGAATCTATCTACCTCTGCCTTATTCAGTCCTGCTGCCTCTGGGAAGAGAGTTCCAAAATCTCTCAATCCTTGGAGAGAAACAAATTCTCCTGTCTTAATCTCTGTCTTAAATGGGTGACTCCCTCCAAGCCACTCAGTATCCTGACTTGGAAATTTATTGCCATTCCTTCATTGTTGCTGGGTGAAAATCCTGGAATCGCCTTCCTAATGGCATTGCAGGTCTAGCCACAGCAAATGGACTGTGGCGACTCAAGAGGGCAGTTCACTGCTACATTCTCCAGGACAATTAGGGACGGGCAGTAAATGTTGCTGTGGTCAGTGACGCCGTGTGCACATAAAGAGAAAGCCAGTTTACGCAGAGCAAGATCCCACATGGCAACAAACTGGCTCAAAATGCAATCCATTTCTTCATTGAGGTGACAGTAAATGAGCAGTTATCTCCTTCAGCAGAAGCTCAAACTTTATTTCAATTCAGGCCGTCTATAAATAATTCATACCCACCTTGTGTTCCCTGTGCTCTTAAGTGCATATATTGGCAAGAATCATTGGTGAACTGGTTCCCTTGCTTGTACTGTTTTGTACTGATAAAACATACAACAAAAGATCCTCTGTTTGTTATGTGCTATTTGTGAGACATTGCTTAATGTTGTTCTTGGCACAAATTTAATATCCTCCTAATGCTCCGGACACCTCAGTATGGCATGAATGCCACTCTGTGGTGAGGTCTGTCAGACCAGGCTCTCTGGTCAGGATTATTAACCAGATGATGGCAGCAACTTACAGCCATTAGATGGGCACCACCTTGCAGCTTGGTGCCAGGGTAAAGATGACCAATCCCAGTGGCTAAAGGCAGGTCTGAGGGCAGAGGCGAGGAATGGAATCAACGAAGGGGTGGGCAACATCGTAGGGAAGTGAGATTGGTAGAGCACGATCTTAAGGGAATTGTGATCATTGGGGGAGCATGGCTGTAGTAGGAGTTGAGTAGAAAATTGTTTTACTGTGGTGCAGTGGTGACTATCATGTGGAGCTATTTGACTAGGGATGACTAGGGTGATTGTACTGCAGAATGACTGTGATTAGGGGTGTGACTGTAGGGGTATGAGACTGTGTTGGGGTTGACTGGGAGTGTATCATTAAGAGAGGAGAGTGGGATCATAATGAAAATACATCTTCGGGTACTGAAATCACTAGTGGAGTGTAATCATACAGGAATTATGATCACGTTGAGAGTGAAACTAATGGAGGTGTAACTGTACTTAAGGGTGATTGTATTGTGGGTGTGGCTGTTGAATTTGTGTGACTGTAGGGATGACTATGGGAGGTTTCTTTTCAAGGTGTGTGACTATAAGCAGGTAGGTGACTGTAGGGCAGTGACTGTAGTGGAGTACGACTGCAGTGGTGGTTATGGAGTGGTTTGTAGGAGAAAGTGTTGTAGGGGAATGTGATTGAGGGGGAGAATGTTCGAAGGGGAATTGTAATTGTTGGGGTTGTGGCATTGTGAGTACAGTGACTTTAGTGGGCTATGTTTGTAGGGGTTGTGACTGTAGGGGAATGTTTCTGATTGTATGGTGGTGTGACTGGGAGTGGTTATATGTGAGATGACTGTAGGGGATGTGTGGCTGGTAATATGATTTGGACTGAAGGGGTGATTTTGTGAATGATGACTGTAGGGATGTGTATGATGTTAGGGTGGGTGTAACGATTGGAGTGACAGCATAGGGGCTGACTGCAGTGTGGATGTGACTATAGATGTGATTGTATGGAGGATATCTGTAGGGGATGTTGTAACTGTACAGTGGCTGTGTGGGGTGACTATGTGGAGTTGTAATTGTAGGTTGGCTGCAACTTAGATGACTTGGGGGGGGCATGTTGTAACAGTAGTATGGACATGACTGTAGAGGGCATTGTGACTATAGGGAACTCAACAATGATGGAAGGTGGGAGTATGAGTTCATTTGTCACAGGGAATCAGGCAACAGAGGGGAAACCTTTAATAGAATAGTTATTTTGAACTGTTATTAGTTCCCTCTCAATGCATTGGGCAATTTTGAGTTTATTGGGGTACTCTTTGATAGGCTGGCTGAGGGCTAATTGCCTATTTGCCTTCATCTTTATTGACCCTGTCAGTGCCTCTAGCCTGGAAGGGGCAGATTCACCCAGGGCTCCTGTTACAATTGCCATGTTTGTCTTGTGTTTACTGCTAGGCAACAGTTTCCAGAGTAAACCTGTGTCCCTGAAGAAGTGAAACCTCTTGCTTAACCAAGTAACAATTGTGGTTAATTCTTCTGTTTCCTCCCACCTTTCGAAGACTGAAGAATTATGGAGATTCTATGTGAAAGTCGCCTGCAGAGTCATCTGTTTTGATTTGTGTATATTTGGGACATGCAGTCAATTCGAACTTCTCATCAAATTTTCTGCAGCAGGTCTTGCTATTCAGGTTCCTAGAGTCAATTGTGCCCTCAGCTGAGGGACCGGTAGAGGTGAAGAGATCGAGGGTTGCTGCATTGACTGAATTGCTGCAGCAGCCGAAAGCTCTAGGCCCATGATGGCCATTTTGTGCCTAGGGCCTCTGGTTCTTTCGGGGATCCAGACCACCAAGTATTAGGGCAAGGCACAGGGGCAAGGGGAGCCAATTTTGAACGGGACATAAACAAGCTGTGGGCTATTAATTATCTGGCCTGACAGCCCCATTGATGACTGACTGACCACAGTTTTCGGGACTCAAAGGTTTTCAAAACATTAGTTTAGAGCAAGGAGGATGTTAAATGGAGAAGTAACTCAACAGTTGGTAAAAAGGTTTCATGGCTAAGGTGACCAAATGTCGGTTTTGCTGGCTCAGTCCCAATTTTTCTTCACATGTCCCAGTTTTTGCTTTTTTAACTAAGCTGGAGGAGGGAGGGGGATGCCAAAAATATGTGTGTTTATTTCATTCCTGTAAACACCCATCATATGGCCTTGCGTTGTGCCCTACGGGACAGCATGGTGGCGCAGTGGTTAGCATTCTACCCTCAGGTGACTATCTGTGTGGAATTTGTACATTCTCCCTGTGTCTGTGTGGGTTTCTGCTGGGTGCTCTGGTTTCCTGCCCCAGTCCAAAGGTGTGCAGGTTAGGTGGATTGGCCATGGGAAATACAAGTTTAGAGGGATAGGGGAGTGGGGTGAATCTGGGTAGGATGCTCTTCAATGTGTCAGTGTAGACTCAATGGGCCGAATGGCCTGCTTTCACACAGGGATTCTAGTCTATTCCAGGCCTGCATCCCTACCCCCACAGGCCCCCTGAGGTCTCCTGGGAAGTTGCCACTACCTTTTTTTCCCTTTTGGTGCCAATGGTTCCATTGTTGATGATGCCTTTCAAAGGATTAGTGGAACTGAGTCTCATTTGTATCTGTCTGGATATTTCATGGGTCATGTCATAATTTGACCACCCACCTTCAACTGGTCCTGCCACAGAGTCTGCCAGTTGGTCATCTACAGGATCAGTCACCCCTGAGGAACCCCTCCCAGGGCTGTTAAATTGGCCCCACGACAGATTTCAAAAAGCCTTACTTATTTTTCATAGCCCCTGTCACTGCCCAAAGTACTTTGCAGATGATGAGGTCAATTTCTTTGTTTTTTCCTTTTTGGAAGTGCAGTCATTATTACTGTTGAAATAGCAGAGGTCCACCTGTGCACAGCAAGATCCCAAAATCAAGCAAACTTACAGCTGAGGTGAGGGGGGCCCTTATGATGGCTGCAATGCAGGGAACACCTCCCCAGAATTCCTCCTCAGAGATGGTCTTGGTGCAGTGCGTCTGCTGAAAGATGGCTTCCCCTGTCAGGGTCAAAAATGACACAACACCAGGTTACAGTCCAACAGCTTTATTTGAAAACACTCACTTTTGGAGTGTTGTTCCTTCATCAGGTCCTGAGAGAGGCATGAAGACACAGAATTTATAAGTAAAAGATCAAAGCATCATATAACTGATGCAAATGCATTTAATAAACCTAAAATGACTGGCTGACTCACTCCTGCTAAATATTGAATCAGCTAGAAAGGAGAAGCTGGTTGTGTGTGTGCGTGTGTGAGGGAGGGTTGGGAAGGGGTGCACGTGAGGTTGGAGGGCGTGTGCACGAGAGCGGGAAGGAAGTGCGAGAGTTTGAGGGGTGCGCAAGAGTGTGAGGGGTGTGCACAGGCGTGAGAGGGAGGGGTGCGCGGGAAAGGGAGGGGAGCGCGTGCGCGACAGGAAGCCTGAGGTGCGTGTGCGCGAGAGGGAGGGGTGCGTGTGCATGTGAGGCGTGTGCGAGAGAGAAAGAGAGAGGGGGGTTGGGCGTGCACGAGAGAGAAAGAGTGGTGTCTGTTTGTGGGTGTGTGTGTGTGAGAGAGAGTGGGGTGCGTGGTGTGCATGTGTGGGTGTGTGTGGGAGAGAGTGGGGTGCGTGGTGTGCATGTGAGAGTGTGGGAGGCGAGCGGGGGGCGCGCGTGTGAGTGTGGGAGAGTGGGGGCGAGCGTGTGCGTGCATGAGATGCAGGGCTGGATGTGTGTTTGTGTGTGTGAAAGGGAGGGGTGTGTGTGTGTGTCAGTGAGAAGGGTGTATGTCTGTGGGAGGGAGGTGCCTGTGTGTGTTTGTCTTGGCTTGGCATGTGCGCGGATCCTGCCTGGACATGTACCTTAGGCGCCAGGTGAGACCAGAGTGGTGGCAGTTCCAGTAACAATGACAGTATCTGTGGCGGCTGCTTCAAGAACAGGAAGCTGTCTCTCGGAGAGCAAGATACGGGGAGGACCTTGTTGAATTTTTAACTTATTCCTTTATTTTCGTTGTTTAAACCATGGAAGACTTTAATGTAAACTATAATCTATTTATTTATTTTTCTATTATCCAATGAAGGAATGCTTCACTTTTTAATTCTCATTTCTCTTACTACTTTGTACCTGAGCTTTTTTTTGTACCTAGATCCTTTGGTACCTAAGATGGCAACGCGTGTGGTGAAATTATTCACTTTTCACTGTACTCCTGTACTTGAGTACACATGATAATATAATGTGAAAAAAAAATGACCCCAAAGTTGTGCGGTCATTTTACCTCAGTTCAACAGGTGGAAACAGAAAAACTGAGCCAAATGTTCACACATCCAGTGACCAGACAGTGTTGGATATGGAAATGGCTCACCAGGGCAGGAGGATGCTGCCCTGTGCATTGATTTACAGATATGCATAAACAAAACAGTGAGAAAAGACCCACAAGCCTGTCCAGTCCTGCATAGTAGTGATGCTCACTGCATCCTGATACAGGCACACTTCATCCACCATTAATATACTTGGAGAGACAAACAATCCCGCTACTATCCAGTTCTAGTGTGACGCCAATAAATTCCAAGAGCAGTATAAAGTTGAGGCTCAATATATTTAATGTTGGTAATATCAGCAAATAGTTGATCAATACTGTATGAAGCCTTTACAATATATCTCAACAATCCTGTACCTTCCCTTGGTACAGCATTGTAGAAGAAGGGAATTCTGTATCAAACTCTATGCTGGGGGTGTTTGATGGAGCAATATAGAGGAAGCTTTGCTTTCAGTTCATTTTCAGTTTTAAAAAGTGGAGGAAGCTTTACTTTGTATCTAATCCTGTTCTGTACCTGCCGTGAGAGTGTTTGGTGGGAACAGTGTAGTGAGAGCTTTACTCTGTGTCTACCCCATATTGTCCCTGTCCTGGGGGTGTTTAGGGACAGTGTTGACGGAGTTTTGCTTTCAATTTAAAAGAGTAACAGACCTTTACTTTCAGTCAAAAAGAGAGAGCTTTTCTCTATATCTAATCCTGTGCTATTGAGGGAGTCCAGCAAAGGTTCACCAGACTGATTCCTGGGAAGGCAGGGCTGACATATGAAGAAAGACTGGATCGACTGGGCTTGTACTCACTGGAATTTAGAAGAGAGGGGGGTTCTCATAGAAACATATAAAATCCTGTTGGGACAGGATGGGCTAGATGCAGGAAAAATGTTTCTGATGTCCGACAAGTCCAGAACTATGAGTCATAGTTTAAGAATTAGGAGTAAGTCATTCAGGACTGAGAGAGAGTTGTGAACCTGTCGAACTCTCTGCCACAGAAAGCTGTTGGAGCCAGTTCATTAGATATGTTCATGAGGGAGCTGGACATGGCCCTTGCAGCTAAAGGGGTTGAGAGGTATGGACAGAAAGCAGGAATGGGATACTGAGATTACATGATCAGCCATGATCATATTGAATGGTGGTGCAGGCTCAAAGGGCCAAATGGCCTACTCCTGCTCCTATTTTTATGTTCTATATTTTTTCTATGTCCCTATCATGACAGTATTTGTTGGAGACTGTGTGGAGGGAACTTCACTTTCTGTGTAAAAGAGTAGTGGGAGCTTTTCTCTGTATGTAATCCTGTGTTATACCTGTCCTGAGAATGTCTGGTGCCATTGTGTATGGAGCTTTATTTATTCTGTTTCTAATGCCATGCTGTATAAATCCTGCAAGTGTTTGATGGGGACAGTGTATATTCTTGCTATATCAGCCCACAATTTTTTTTTCCATTCTGCACTGATCATCTCTTTCTTTGGGACCAACTATCATATAACTCTCCTTTTAATAACATGTCAGTGTCCTGTGGGATTCTGTGCATTGAATAGCTTTTGAAACTAAGGTGTTTTAGCTGCTGGCGTGAATACCAGACAAACTACATGTTTGTACTCCTAGTTAAATAGTTATTTGACAAGTTATGTCAATTCACAATCTCTGATAAGGCAAGATGTATGTCCCTCCTTAGGCAAAACAACCGACTATGCAATCTCTGGGATCATACACTGCTTCAAAACAGCCAGCCTATATTTAACGAAGGCAATCCCATGTGTAGTACAGTAAAGTACCAGAGGCATTAAAGTCAAATCCCCAGAGCCACTTACTGTGTGGAGAAGGAAATAGTTTGTCAAAAATTTCACACTTTATTACAAATTCACAATCTCGGAATTATGAAACAACATATGCAACACTTTCTGTACGTGCCCTGTCTCTATCACTGCCTCCTGTTTTATCTATGCATGTCATTACTACACTGCCTTCCAGCCCATCATGTCTGTACCAGTTCTCCAAGCAGTACAATTCATGTGTTTCTCCCACGCCACCCATGACCCCAAGCAACCCTTCACATTTTCCTGGTTGCAGATGGTATTTCAATGTGAACCCCACTTTGGAATGTAATAAAGAGGTTCACTGGAGATGACTCCAAATGGCACCAGCATGGTCTGGGACAGAGGGGTACATCAAGGTCCCATAACTGGTGCCCCAAAAAAGGGTTTGCACTGGGACCTGTGGTTTCTTTACCTGACCTTTAGCATCACAACAAACAAGCACCAACAGTGTTTATCACCTTTAGATAATAACATACTGGGCATTGGAGGTAGTGAGGCCTTCCAGATCCCAGGAGATCTTCTTTGTGCAGACTTTGAAAAGATAGGAAGCTGGACAACTTTTGTTATTTGCTCACTGGCTGGGGCCAGCATTTATTACCCGTCCCTAGTTGCTGTTGAGAAGGTGGTAGTGAGTTGCGTCCTTGAACCGCTGTAGTCCATGTGTTGGAGGTAGACCCACAATACTCTTAGGAAAGGAATTCCAGGATTTTGACCCTGCAACAGTGAAGGAATGACAATATATTTCCAAGTCAGGGTGATGAGTGGCTTGGAGGGGAACTTGCAGCTGGTGGTGTTCCCATATACTTGTTGCTCTTGTCCTTCTCGATGCAAGTGGTCATACGTTTGGAAAATGTTGTCTGAAGAGCCTTGGTGAATTTCTGCAGTGCTCCTAGTAGCAGCATTAGTGGTAAATGGAGCGGAGGCTTGTGGATGTGGTGCCAATCAATGGGTAATTTGTCCTGGATGGTGTCAAGTTTTTTGAATATTGTTTGAGCTGCACCCATCCAGGCAAGTGGGGAGTGTTCCATCATATTCCTGACTTGTACCTTGTAGGTGGACAGGGTTTGGAGAGTCAGGGAGTGAGTTACAGCAGGATTCCTAGCCTCAGACCTGTTTTGTGGCCACTCTATTTATATTGGAATTAGCTTTATCATCATATGTACTGAAATGAGTACAGTTATAAATCACCACTTAACAGCACCATCTTAGGTACAAAGGTACCTAGATATAGCTCTTCAGTTACAAGATCTTAGAAAATAGAGAAATTAAGAAGTCCAGCATTACAGAAGTATGCTGGCACCTAGCCTCCAGTCCGCACCAGGCCTTAGCTCCAGACCACGCTGGGCTTCACCTGGAGGTTCATGAGGCTGGGAGATCGCTCTAGAACCGTGTCAAGACTGGGAGACGATGCTGAGGCCACACCAGCCGACTGCTATGCCAAGCCGGGAGGTCACTACATCAGACGGAGAGGACCCATTGCTGTTTCTGTGCTGAGACCGGGAGTTGATCAGAGGCTGGGAGAGAAGTAAAAGAAGAAAACACAGAGATAAAAAAGAACGGTCAGAGCTGCAGCTATAGCAACCTATTCCGCCACTAACTTGGACCGGAAGTGACTATTTATATAGTTAGGCAAGTTCAGTTTCTGATCAGTGCCAACCCCAGGATGTTGCTAGTAAGATTCAGTTATGGTAATGCCATTGAATGTCCAGAGAGAATTCTCTTTTTTTGGTTGTTACCTGCCACTTGTTTAGTACCTGTCCTCTTGCCAGCCTAAACCTGGATATTTTCTAGGTCTTGCTGCATTTGAACACAGTCTAGTCCAGTATCTGAGGAGTCTCAAATGATGCAAAACATTGTCAGCAAACATCTTACGATGGAGAAGGTCATTGAAGCATCTGAACAA